TAACAGAACACACAGAAAATGAAAGTATAGTGACACAGAAAAAGATGTTAGCAGAAACATGAAACTGTTCTTGTTCTCGTGTACAAGTGCCTGGATTATAACAGAAACAACCAGAAAACAGAGAAATGTGATCCAGTGGGGTTTGTAGCACCATTTAAATGATCCCGAATATGCTGATCTTGATTTTACCAATATTGCCCTCTTATCAATTACAAACAAAAAGATTTACGACAACATTACTGATAGATATTGCTATTAAGCATAATTAGAATAAAGATTACAGCAGGCAAATGTGTCAGCACGAGACCAAGCACATTGGACAACAACATCTTGGAAGAAGTGACAGGAAGTGAAAGTGGAGATAGTACACGGGCCTCTGTAAAAGGGGACTGCATGATACCATTTAGACGCACCAGTTTTGGACAAAACGTATTGTCAATAATAGGAGGTAAACTCTGGAATAGCTTGCCCCCCTCAATAAGAGAGTGTCCTACATACAACACCTTTAAAACTCACTTAAAACAGTGGCTCCTGGAAAACCAGAGATGCACTCACTTTTAACTGCCACACATTTCATCACCCATACACTTTCACTGTTAAACTGAATGCAGTATAGAGGTGGATAAATTATTTCTTTGTTGTCATCCTGTGTATTTTTGTTTTGTTTGTTTGTATGGTTTGATGTTTATGTCACCATTATGTGTACCTTTTTAACTTATAGTGAATGAGTGCTGTATGAATGCTGGCTGTCTCTATGTTAGTCTTATGTCACCTGCCTAGGGACTGCAGAATGAAAAGTAGTTATTTTTACTAATTCTGGAATATTTACATGTTTTTTTATACAAGAATGTTCATAAATATGCATGGTCCCTATCAAATAAACCAATAAAGTAAAAATAAATAAATAAAATAAGTACAGACAGTATCAAAGTAAGAACTGAAAAAGGGTCACACTTTAGATGAAGTGTTGCTGGTAAAGGTTTTATACTGCATGTATAATGCCTTGACAAATGAGACATAATGTCTTCATGTGTTATTTTACCCTTTACAAAGCCAGGCATTTGCTTATGTATGATTTATGAAGACATTATGTCTCATTTATGAAGGCATTACACATGCTGTATAAAACATCTATGAGCAACACTTCATCTAAAATGTATCCCAAAAAACACATAAAAGTCAGAATTAATCAAACTTGAGAGGTGTTCACCATGTTGAAGTAAGTTTGGTCTTTCACATAATCACAAGAGGAACAAAAGCATGGATCTCTGCCTCAAATTCCAAATCTGTCCTTCTTTACGGCTCAGGGAATACATTAGATCAGCCTCCTCACTCTGTGCCTTAAACAAATAATGAGAAGGATGGACAGAGCAAGCAACAAGGTATTATGGGAAAAAAGAAAGAGGTCAAAGCCTATGGAATACAGATCATGAAATAGAAGTGGCAGTGGATTAGCCACACACTGAAGCAACATCATGAGGTAGGGATGCAATGGACTCCCCAAGACAGAAGAAACAGAGGATGCCCTTGAAGCACCTGATGAAGAGATGTTGAGGCTGACTTGAAGAAGTGGAGACACAACTGGAACACCCAGGAGAATTCAGCCCACAATTGTTCAAAATTGTGGAAACATGTTGCTAATAACTGTTTTAATGTCAACAATCAAGTACAGGTTATGCATCCAGCATTGCAGGATATGCCACAAGCTTGCATGGAAAATAACTAAATTGTTTATTTCATTTTGTAAAGTGTATGCAAATTGTATTTACCTTAGTATCACCCTTACATTGTATTCAGAAAGAAGCTGTGTTAACCCATCAATGGATTATTCCAATCTGAAACTTGCTGATAAAGAAAAATGATTTAAACAGATCAAAACTGCATCATCAGTTTAAAGGATTTTTTTTTTTTTTTTGCACCTCCTCGACTTTTCACCTCAGTAGCCGTCACTGCTAAGTAACAGAATGATGTGGATGACCTGGGTTGGATTGGTGACGTGTCCAGGTTGCATTTCTTAGATAGGCTCCATAACCCCCTGTATCTCTGTCCGTTTCATAAGTTGGCTTGATAACAGATGGACAGATATCATCTTCTTGAGTATGGCATGAACATCACGATGGAAAAAATATTGTTTTTTTGCAGCCACTATTGTTTACGGTCTGCTGGGCTGAAATAGTAACGGAGGAACCATTCCTCACTGATCGTTACGCCTACCAATTTCACCCCATTTTCCATTTCGGATAGGCCGGCGTATTTTCTCCACACCGTGAAAGAATCGGTCCGAGTAAAGAAACCATCTGGCCAGAAATGAACAGCACGTTCAGACGAACATAATAACCTTTAATACTCCGGTCACAGTCTGGTGAAGAATAGGGTCAAGTCTGCAGGGCCTCAGTGTTTGATACAGATGCTGAGATACACACACAAACAAACACACACTACACACACACACACACACTCTCTCTCTCTCTCTCTCTCTCTCTCTCTCTCACACACACACAAACTCACACAAGCACACGCACATGCACACATTCTCTTTTGTTGTCTCACTGGATGGAATTCCAGCTGAGAGAGGAACAGAGGGAGAGAAGAGTATGGAAAGAGAGTAGTAAATACTAATTAAGTCACCTAAACCCTAATTAATTTCTCCCTACTCAGATACATGGCCATATGACACCGTCCCCGCAGGAAATTAACACTCTACCACACATTTCCTGCTTTCTCGCTGCAGTGTACAGCAGCAAGGAATGGACAAAAAAATGCAATATAAGATTAATTAATTAATGATAATGTGATAGCGATGTGCAATGCAGAAACTTCAACTTAATGTGTGAAGTAAATTCCAACTATTTTTAAGTTAAAAACAGAAAATAAGCGCATATCTAAATTGCCAATGCTCCTTGCTCTATAGCTGGGTAAATATTACAAAACATCACAGCAACAAGACAGCAATGTGGAAAGGAAATTTATCATATGTGTATATCAGTGGCAGCTTGTGAACTGGCAACAGGGGAGGCTTAAAATTAATGATTGGTCACAACCTGTTTTCGGTCGTAAATTTTAATTACCTTTACAGAAACTTCGAAAACTCGCAACATTATCAGATGTGGCCAGTTTTCATTTATAACGTATACCGATTACGACTCCGGACTTCTCACGCTTTTCTTTACTCAGGGGTTGGAAGCAATGCATGTGTTTCATGATCGTTTAAATGAAATAAGATCATTTGAAACGTCTTATTGCAACTCCATTACATCCAACCCCTCCAGTGCACAAGGACTTCAATTCTGCGCGAGAATCTCTAACATATGCAGTGATTGAATAATTGCTGATTACAACAGAGGAACGTAAATATGCCACCAAACTCACAACGTATGCGTGAGAGTTGACAGGTATGCGTTATAAATGAAAACTGGTCACACCTGATAATGTTGAGAGTTTTCGGAGTTTCTGTAATGGCAATTTAAATTAATGATTGATTAATGATTTTGAGGGATGGGTTTGAGCCTCTCCTATCGCCAGTTCACGAGCCGCCACTGGTGTACATACACAGACAAGCTGTTTTGAGGCGTGCTTTACATCGTGGCATAAACTGAACTTCAGACATCAGCCGAGTGCACCATCCGGCAGTAAGAGAGAAACCTCTCTGCTTTGTGTCTCCAGCCTTTAAATCTGAAATTTATTCTGGCCCATTCTAATATTGCAACTCCGACAATATGTTTATTGCAATATGCTAACAGGCAGTATCGATTAAAATTCAATATATTATGCAGACCTACTGCAATGGATACCAAAAAATCATCCCTTGAACTGTGAAGGCCAGCCAAGTGCCGGCAACAATGAGCTCACTGTACTTAAAAGCGCGACCCAGCCTGACACATTGTCCAACACAATGAAAAGTCGCCTCTCTGACACTGCAGAAAGGTCACTCCTTGACCACAGCATGATTCACCAGAGAGACAAAAACATCGAACAGAACCACACCACGGAGTCTTCTCCACTATTAATCGGCAGCATACTTAAGCACGGGGGGTTCACACAAACCAGTCCATACAGATTGCATCTCTGCCCTCACACCCAGGAATACTGTACAGGTTTCAGCCTTGTTGCCAAGCCTGTCTGTGTTGTGCACCCTTAATATAGGGCCCAATGTAACTCCAGTTGCAGAACAGAAGTGGACCGGCCAGGGCACGAGACCAGGGTGACTCCTGGAAGGAGAACACCACTCCTGTCGAAAAGCATACCTTGCAGCAGTTCTGTTCCGAAGTGATATCGATATGAACAGGCAATAACTAGTGATTAGCTCGACAAGTAAACAAAGGCATGATAATGATAAATATTTATTTCTAAGTATTTCAATAAATATCTCTGAATGTTTATCTCTACAGTAGGCTATCTCATCCGTAGCCTATTCATTTTGTATCTACAATAATCAAACTACTGTTTAACTGTTTTCGCTGATCACGTATATCCAAATAGGAAGGCAGTAATCGTTCAGCATCGGTCTGAGAAAATTCAGCATATCTGACATGACTAACACGTAGCTATGATCGATATATTTGTGTATCACAAGTCACAAAATTCCCTTCCAGGCTTGTCAGACACAAGCAAATCCAGAGGAAATAAAGCAGATGCAGAAAAATAACACTTGCAGACACTTTCATAGGGCTTCAGGGGGCATGTGTACAGAAACCGAGCCACAGCAGCACCCAGTGAACATTGCAGCACCAATAAGCATAGTTGCGTATCCACTCTCACAGACACACGTCTCCCGCACTGGAGCCCTGACACATGTGCATTGGGCCTAAGCCTTTAGAGCCACTGACTTCCCACAGAGTCTGGAGCACCCACAGCAGCAGCGAGCCCCACCAGCAGGCCTAGTGTGCCTATCCTCAATGTACCCCTCCCTGAGTAAACTCCTCTGTGGTCAAGGTACATTCGTGCCTCTCCAGCATTTGGCCGTTACGCCTGTTGACCTTGACCTCATGCCCAACTGGCTGGCATGGTGGCGCAGTGGTTAGCGCTGCCGCCTCACAGCAAGAAGGTTGTGGGTTCGAATCCAGCCTGGCGTTTGCACATTCTCTCCGTGTTCGCGTGAGTTTCCTCTGGGTACTCTGGTTTCCCTGGATTCCCTGGAAAAACATGCATTAGGAATGCTCCTACCAGTATCCTTGACCAAGGATCCTTGACTTGGCGCTGCTCTGTAGCTGCCCACTGCTCCTAACTATAGGATGGGTTAAATGCAGAGGACAAATCACCCCAAGGGTTCAATAAAGCATATCTTATCTTATCTAGAATTGGAGTTTTAAGGTGGGTGATAGGCCTGGAGTGGTGATGGGTAGCCACGCTATGTATACCAATGGCTCCTCCGATGTTCCTGTCCTTCATTACCTCCATCCATCCCCATGATCTCGCAAGAGCCTTGTAGAACAGTGGTACACCTTTAAGTGGTACTGATACATGGTTAGCTAGGAAAAGGGGCAGGCCTAAATCCTGTCCTTCTAGCTTTTCCAAGATTAACTTTGCAATCTGTTTCACAACCAATATACCATGCAATCATCTAACCAATATACAATAACCTCTTTATCCATTGTAGCCTTAACGCAGCCGTTCTACTGACCAGATGTAACAGCCTTGGACCACTCTATGAATAAAAATTACCCAGTGATAATCTACCCAGAGACCTCCCCAGAGGTAGCCTAGCAGGGTTTCCTAGTGGTAGGTTGCTTGACTGGTACCTGAAGAGTTGCTGGTTAGAGCCCCTGTGGGGCTTGAGTTTCTGATTTTATCTGGAGAGATGAAGTTGGGAGAAACCCTGCCGTTGGCCCTTAATCCCAATATTGCTCTAGGGGCTCTTTCCCTGTTTCTCTCCATCCCCTCACTTGCAACCATTCTATCTGGAATATCTCCCAAGGCATGCTTGAAAAAGACAAACACATTCTCAGTGGTATATCCCTGGTTAACCCTTTCATTACCATTGTCGCATTTCCGCAACAGCGCCGATCCCGCATCACTTACCATTGTCGCTATTTTGCGACTAGAGAAAGTCCCTCACAAAAATGGTCAAAGCTCCACAACAAAACACCCCTTTGGACGAGTCTGGTATCGCACAACACGTCAGTGATGTCATCAGGCTTCCTGTAGTTCCCAATCCTCCGGTTATGCCCAGTTTTATTCTATTTTATACAGGTTATTGCAGGCAGTGCGTGCTGCAGCACGTGTATCTCCGTTTGTACACAAGTGCACGTGTATCTCTGTTTGTACAGAAATGCGCGTTTATCTCCCTTTGTACATAAATCCCACAGAGGAGAAATCGTCTTGCCTTGACAAACCGAAATACGGTTTTTATCCTCATTTTCTGTTTTTACTTTTGGAAAAACTAAGCAAAGATATGTGTCAATGGAAAGGTAAATGTATTTTTAACATGTTTTCTGACATAAAATTGTCCATTTCTGATGTTTTTAGTTCGAAAAAGGGGGTGAAAATCCACATGCAATATCATGCTGTGATAGCACAAAAATTTACGGTAAGCAAGGGTTGTCTTATTCCCAGTAAGCAGTAGTGAAAGGGTTAAATAAAGGTTAAAAAGAGAAATGCTTGAATCTCAGCAAACAGGCAGCTCTAGATATGCCAGCCTATTGCCACAGCACTGAAGCCACCTGGCTTTTAATAATCAGGTTGCCCCCCTGTTTGAGAGATGTAGAAAGTGAGCAAGAGTATTTATTTAACTACCAATGTACAGTCCCCAGAACCCCCTCCCTTTTCTCCAGCATTGTGATGTCATTCCCCTGGTACAATCCCAGATACCATAATACTAGATTCCACATCTAACCGCCCGGGAGCAGAGACTCTGTCTGACCAAAAAAAAAAAAAAAAAGCTTCACTCTTTTCTCTATTAATCTAACTGAAGAGATCACTTCAAACTGCCTCACAATACTGCAGAAAGTATCCACATCCCTCTGACCATCAATCATGAGAGAGAGAGAGAGAGAGAGAAAGAGAGAGAGAGAGAGAGAGAGAGGTACCTACATAATTTTAACAGAATAAAATTCTGGAGAACAGAATGCCCCGGGAGAGGACATTAAGAAAGGAACAGCAGCTGGGTGCCCTGTTAGGCCTGCAGATTTTTTGCTTTAACCTCAAAACAGTTGAAATCAACAAGCAGTGCAAACCCAGGAAAGCGGTGAAGGTGAGTCCACTGTATGTAACTGGCTGCTATGATTGTTGTGTTTCAAAATTAAGTTTTGAAAAACAACAAAGCTGGCAAATCCCGTGGCCCACCAGGACAAGAGTTGGGAGGTTCTCAGTTAACTGTAGTTAGGAACTCAGATTGTTTCTGTCTATTTGCAATCTAATGAAAGCAAAAATAGTAAATCCAAGAACCTTTATCATGTCATGTACTCCAAAACTTGAAACAATGACATGGTACTTCTATCATTTAATTCATTTTTTTTAAATCATATCAGCTATGTGGTGAATGCCAAAAGCATTATACTGTACACACCTGATGCTTGAAATAACGTTGTGTTCCTCGCCAAATTTTTTGACAACTGCATCTCAAATAGCCTGGTAGAGCCATCCAATTTGTTTGGGACAGAAAAATGACACTTTCTCTGCCAGCGGGATGGTAAACAAGCAGCAGACATAAAAAATGTCCCCAATCTTGTCTAACATCAGCAGATTCTGTTATTAAAGACAGACCGGAGAGAGTCCAGAACACAACTAGCGCCGTGGCAGACAGTAAACATCAATTTATCTGCGAGCAGCCCGGTTTCAGAGGGCACTTCATCACCCCCACAAAGCAGCTGGGGCCAGAGTCAAGCTTGAGGCACCCACAGATCGATTCTGCCATTACTCAGGAGGCTCCCGCTCGCCGGTCCCCAGGCAGGCTCAGAATCATTTCCCACAATCCTTTGCAGCCAGAGCATACGGTATCTCCACTGAAGTACTTCAAGAGTTCAGGAAGACAGAAGTCCTGAGGGGATACAATAAGTTGGGAGTTGCAGCCACCCGTGTTGGCCAGACGGAGACCATTGGTGCGTGATCAGAGCTGCAGGCGGAGGATTGTGGGAAACGCGGTTCTGGTGCCTGTTACGTGACTGATGACACCCGGGCAGAGTGGCAAGGGTAGGAGGCACTGAAGCCTGACGGAATGTGACTCAAAGCCAGGAAGATGAATTAGCCGGCCTCTGCCACATGTGCTGATTAAGCACCGTCCCATTAGCTTAGTCACATATGGTACACTCTCCGAAGAGGAGTTACATAAGCCTGTCACTTATTTTATCCAAAAAAATAAAAACCTAAATTTATTGTCATACAGGTTGTCAATTTGAGCCCTAATCCTGCAGGCTAAAAGCTAAAATACAGTTCCTACGAAGCCAAGAGAGGGTGGAAGCGAAGCCAAGGATTGAGAAAGTGACAAAGAAAAAGTTGGAGAGGGAGGCAGTGACAGAATGACATATTTTGAGTAAGAGAGAGACAGAAAGACAGAGAGGAGAGAGAAAGAGACAGAGAGAGTTAGAGAGAGGATGGGGGCATAGCTATGTTTAGCAGGAGTGGATTAGCCTGTCTCTGAAACTTTGACAGTGTACTGGACCCACAGCCCTGAAGCAATATTCAAATGCTGACAGGGAGGATTCTTTCCTTCACGGTTCTTGTTGATTGAGAAGCTATTTGGTAGACCTCACTTACAACCCAAATAATCAGTATTCATATGCTGGCAATTATTGTGAAATTATTCCCATTTATTCATGAACTAATATTATCATAAATTTACATTCCATCAGCTTCACCTAGGGACATTAATGCAGCCTAAATTTGATGTATATTCACAAGATGCCCAGGTATTTACAGCATTGATGCCTTGTTAAAGCACCTCGCTTGAGGGTAAAGCAATCTAATCAGGACAGCGGCACTTTGTCGCACTCCCGTAACAAGAACATTCTCTGTATAACGTGCTAAGCATGCTAATGGGATCCCACTGGAATTAAGCCATAATTTTGCAAGACCAGAGCAGCATAAGATTAATGTTGTAGAGTAGAGCCATCTGGTTGAGTTCTGTTGGTCGACGGATATTGTGATGCCAGGGAGAGGGAAGCCAATAATGCTCCTGATAGCCCACTCATCACAGACTCAAGGCTAAAAGCCCAGTTTTAAAGGACTTCATTGCTTTCAGTAACCAGTAGCGATTTTTACAGGTGCATTAGAAACTAAGCTCAAAGACTTTTTATCCTGGTGAGGCATGACTCTGTGGTGCCTTGGGCGAACTGATAATGAGCAGAACTGCGAAGCTGCCGTCAATTTTTCCTCGACCAGGGATGCGCAACAAGGAAATAATTAATATTCGAATCATTCTGGTTTGAAGAATATAATTTCTCTCAGAAAAGAGACAGGTGACAGCAGAGGAAGCCACTAACCCTCAGAAGATGAGCTTCTCGTACTTTCCAAGTCTTTCAAAGTTGTAGAGAGAGCAGCAATGGATCAAAATGCAACGTCTCTTTATTTGTCATTCACTACATCTGCCACTATGGAGGCATGTGGCTGTCTGTGAGCATTGTGCCAGTCAAACTTCTTATCAAACTGTTTTCTCATTCATGGGAACTCTATTTTTTTTTTTTTTCAATAGATTCAATAAAATTGTACTGAAGGGGACTGAAGGGAGTTTAAATCAGAGCTTTAAGAATGCAGCTTCAGAGTTCAGGTACCCAGTCTCTCTCTCTCTCTCTCTCTCTCTCTCTCTCACACACACACACACACACAGCTATCATTCCAGCACAAAAAAAAAAAACAGATAGGAAAAATGTTCGTAAAATTATAAGGGTCATTAAGAAAAGATCAATACTAAGGCTTTTACTGAACCATTGGACTCCCCCAAAGCCAAAAAAGTGGGCACACTGGAAACCTTACCAAGAATTTAAATCTTTTATGTAGATTTAAACACTTATTCCAATTTCTATTTTCCTCCATAAAACAAAAATTCTACCACTCATGTGAGATTATTTTTAATAACTTCTAGATTTCTCCAACTCGGTAACTTAACCCTTAGAGCTCTGAAATAAACACAAATTAAA